GATGCTTTGTAGATTTTCTCCATTTACCCGTACCAGTGAGAACACAAGTACACCTCTAGTGCTTGCTGAAATAAATAGGTTTTTTCCTTTTATGAGGACATGTATTATTTAACAAAAAAAGTATCACTAAATTCTACCTTTTTGTTATAAACCTTTAAAGAAACTAGCATAAAATAAAAGTTTTAGAGTCATGCAAAGTCACTTCAAAGGTTAAAATCCCAAAAAAATATGAAATAACTGAAACTGGCAACAGTGTGAATCTCCCCCAGGGTCCTCCAAGTTGTAGAGTAGTGAGACCAAATAAAAAACTTTAGCTTAGAAACAGATGGCTTTGAAATACATGCTATCCTAAAGTCTATGAAATAATAATAGTAATCATATTTCTGTTAAATGTGATGGATTAAAACTTAGAGATACTCAGTAAAAAGACCACTGTCCTACAAAATCATCATCTTGGGTGAGGTGTGTACACATTAGCACTGCTCAGAAAAGATATAGAACACTTTAAAGCTATTTGCAGGACTCCACGGGCAAGCATACATGCACCTTACTATGTGGTCGTTTTCTCCATATAAAGAACTCACCAGACTTGGCTCCAAAACACCTATTTTCAAAAGGCAGAGGAAAAAATATGTCTCTATTAAATAATCCCAGTATCTCCCGACAATTGTTTTGGCTATGATCACAGCATGACTGGATTAATCAAAATTTCCATGTATTCTTCGGAAAGCAGTATTCATTATAGCAACATTTTTAAAGTTCTAATACATGTTTAAAAATTATATTAATCCCAGAATATTTTAATTTCCCCTCATATCCAGTGCTTAACCCAAAGTTGAATAAACTTTATCTTGACCCTTACATCCTTATTATCCACCTCAGTTGGGAACATAAGTGGATTGGACAATGGAGTAGAATGTATACAAAAATGTCCTACACAGATGTGTGTTTTCTTCCCCTTCTTCCTCTTGTTTCCACTTGACTGGGACATTAATCAGCCATGGGGAGGCCCCCTCCATTATATTCTCTGCAGTTCTGTGTTCAGGCATTTGGATATGTGTATGTATTTTTGTGCATATTTACACACAATTGAAGAATATCCATGATAATTTACTGGATAGGTAAGGATAGTAAAATGCATTGTTAGTTACCAGGAAGTTAGAGGAAAATTTCACATACAAACACTTTTAAAAAGATATCCTGTTGCAATAAAGTAAAACTTGCAGGCTCTTACATTAAACCATTAAATGTTTGGTTCTACTTCCCTAATTTCCTGAAGCCACATCTTTCATTACTTACCAAATATACATTCCTGTAAGTTAAGTAAGTCCCTGGCCAGGTTGCTTCCTTGGCTCAATTTCTTTGCTATTTTTAATGTGCATGGTGCTCTCTCAGCAGCTCCTAGAAGCCTAGGGTCAGCTGAGACCCATTCTCCTAAAACTTTACAACTCTCTACAGGCATATTTACAAAGTGTTACCTGAAAATACCAAGAAACCACCACACATTCCATTTGTGTGCAATTCATTAAAAAAAATTTACATTCATTCCACTAGTAAGAGTTATTTACTTCTCTGGCTCTGGCTTGAAAGGATGTGGTAGGTTTGAGTCAACAAAACTGTCTCTGGCCTCTTCCTCCCCTTATTCATAGGCATTAGCCACCCCGCAGGTGTAAACCTGTACACCAAGAAATCTGTGTGCGTAAAGTGGAGGAGATCTGAAGCAGAAAAGCTTAGGGTTTGGACTATATGGGGATTAAGTAAAAGCTACAGCCAACCATTCAGCTCCTGAGGATTATTAATGGTGGTAATGAGGAAAACATTTTGAACCTGGGCCTCAAATTGCAGTCTGTGCTCAGCAATGCAGGCACAACATGAATAAATTTTAACAAGTTTTAGCTTTAGGCTTCTCATTAGTGCCCTTTTCCCACATGTAATGTGCAGAATGCACCACTAGAGGGCAACCATTTCCCTTAGGGAAAAAAATAACATCAATTGAACCACATGAAGCTACAACTTCACACCCAGTAGAATGGCTATAATCACAGAAGACAATACACAGCGTTGGAAAGGATGAAAAGAAACCAGGAACTTCATACTGTGATGATGGGGATATAATATAGAACAGTCGCTGTGAAGAAGTTTGGTGGTTTCTTTAAAATTGTTACAACCCAGCAATTCCACGTGTATGAACCTATGAAGATAAATGAAAACCTGCTTACGTTAAGACATGCTCATGAATGTCCACGGCAGTGTTAGAAAACAAATGCGGACCAGCCTTGAAAATTCTCCAAACAGAAAAAAATTTAGTCATACAAACAAAGCTTGATTTAGCTTACTTTGCAAGACTAGCCTGATCTAGGTCATTTCTTGTTTATGTCTCTGAAAATCATAAGAAAAACTTGGACAGTCCCCAAAGTGGGTATGAAGTAACACAATGACCAATTCCTGATCATTTAAGAAAATGCTAATATATTCTAACACTGTGAAGAATAAACAGTTACTGCTTTCTCATTGTAAAAGCTGCTTGATAACAAATATTCCTGAGTCTCATTTCGTGTTTTGGTTTTAGTGTTTCTGGTATGTGCATAACAAACTTTCACTAATTAACCACTATGGTGATTGGTATTACTTCTGTTATTTCTGAACTTTTGACATCTCGGCAGAAGAAGTAGAATCCAAAGAAGACCCTGAATTCTCGAAGGCCAGTGAACAGACAGGTGCTGGTACCCATATCACTGCTTTCTTGCTAACCCTGGAATTTGAGGGTAAGTCTATTTGAGATCAGAGGTCTGCTCTTCGTGTTTTGAGCTCTGCAACTTTATTGTGCACACCTGCATTTTGCTTGTTGAGTCTTCTTGGTTAGTCGCTGTATTCTGTTCAAAGAGTGGGGGTGGCGGTGGAACGTGATTCCCTGTGTTTTGAAACAGTTGTTGGAAAACAGGGCCTCTCACAGTTAGGACATTAAAGGGGAAGATGGGTTCCATCTGGCTTATGGGTGAGGCTCTTGTGCTTTTTTGGAAGATACCTGATCTGAAACTGCAGTGGCCACTTTGGGGAACCTTTAACTTAGGTCCACCTTAAGCACTCTGAGAAGGTTCTAAACCTCTCAGAGACCATGAAATGCATTCTTTAAAAGGCACATAAAAGCTTCTAAAAGACGAAAAGGACTCCAAAAAGCTCTGAAAAAATCCTTAAAGCATGCAAATAAAAAGTCTTTCGCTCTCTTAATTTAGTCCATCTGCCAGAAACACAATTTGCCAACAATTCTTTTAACTTTTGTACCTGAGACGTGGCTACAATTTCAAAAAAAAAAAGCTTTAAGATCTTTTTGGATGTCTGTATGTTTATGTAGGTCTATGTATGTTACAGATAGGTGATAGTTTTCTCCTTCCAGATGGTAGCATCAAAATTGTAAAGAGCTCTATTTAAAGAAGTGTTTTATCAAGATACTCTCAGAAGTATAGAAACTAACCCAGATGTTTTTCAAGTTTATGATCTGAGATAATCCTTGATAAATACAAGCTAGTGTAAGTGTGCTGGTTAATAAAAGCAGGTATGTCTTCAAAATTTACCAAAAAAAGTAAGATAGTTGTTTAATGTCTAACCCAAGCACAGTTGTTCAAAGTAATAAAGTTTACACAAACTTTAACTGAATAATGGATATGCACTGAATATCTAAATCATTTCCAAATTTATATTTAGCATTAATTTTTATCTGCTTTGGCTTTTTAGAGATAAAATATATTTAGGTCCATTAATATGATTTGTGCCACACTGAAAAATTTACTATGAGGAAGAATACTACTTTAGAAATTATAAAATATATTTATAAATTTGCCAAAACACACATTTTCTTAGTTTTCAACTAGGAATTAAAGATCCTAACAGTTAAGAATTCTAATATATATAATTAAAACTACTAGAAATAACAGGGCTAAAAAGACTACTGCATATGAAAAGTAGGTGAGGAAAACAAGGTTTTTTAGATAAGGAAAGATATGAAGGACTTTTGGAGTTTTTTTTCTCGTTTTTAGTAAAAATAAGAAAAGTATTTACTTTTTTTTTTTTTTTGTCCTAAAATGATTGTTCCAGAATGAGAAAAAAGGACAAAACCTAATTGGACATAGAAACTTACAGACGGTTTGTGAAAAGGGAATCTTGAGAAAGGAATTTTATGTGTGATCAAGCTTAGAATGGACTTGTTTTTTAAAAAGACTTTTAATATCAGGGCGCCTAGGTGGCTCAGTTAAGTGTCCAACTTCAGCTGGGGTCATGATCTCATGGCTTGTGGATTTACCCACATCAGGCTCTGTGCTGACAGCTCAGAGCCTGGAGTCTGCTTCAGATTCTGTGTCTCCCTCTCTCTGCCCATCCCCTGCTTATTTTCTCCCTCCCCCTCCCCTTCAAAAGTAAACATTAAAAACATTTTTAAAGACTTAATATTAAAAGTATACTGATGCAAAACTAAAATTTAGTTTCTTCTTTGTTAAAACAACCAAATTTTGTTCTTAGATTATTGGTCTGCTCTTAATAAGAAATTATAAGCAAAGTTGTTTTGTTTTTACCTTTAATGCAATTTGCCTAAAGAACATTCCCTGTCTTATGAAAATAATTTGTGGTTCAAGTCTTTATCAGTCTTTGGTCTCTTAGAAAAAAATGGAGTTTTCTCTATTAAAAAAACCTAAGGTTATTTTTGTTTTGTTTTTACAACTTTGACTCTTCTCTATTTGCCTTTGAAATCTTTGTCACTTTGGTTGAATGGATAACTAAGTATTATCTCACAGTGATGATCCTATCTGATCAGATGTTTTACATCTTTTGACATATTTCACAAATTTCCCTCAATCAAATTCTGAATGAAAAAGAGATGACTTATTTAGGCTTATTTGGGAAACATCAAATAAAATTTAATTGTTTAGCTTTCTTAGATCATATTTCTGAGAGAGAGAGAGAGAGATATAGTTCATTAAGATAATCAGAAATTATAAGATTTTTAAGAATTTCAATTATGTCCTGGTATAGTCTTATTAATCCTAATTTCAACTATTATCTTAAAATATATTTCACAAGAATAACCAAATTTTACATGTCAGTTGCATCATTTTGGGGTTGTATATAAAACTCTCACCAGATCCTTTTAAAGTATTTTTTAAGTCTTTTGACATTTACAGACAGTTGTTTTACTCTGATGGTTTTGCAGAAGTGTTCCTGCAAAAATGCTTCATTTTGAAATAAATTCATGTAAAAGACCTTGACAAGTACTCCAAAATCCAGGCTTCTGACAACTTCGTAACACTGAACTAGGTAAGAATTTATAAAGCTCTAATGGAAAATTGATTGATTCATCAAGCTGCTTACCCAAGGAGAAACAAGAATTACAACTAAACGAACTTATGAAAATGATTAGAATTTTTATGACTTCATTTAGAATACTGCTGGTTCTTTAATGTTTTCCAGATTTAAAGGACCCCTTTTGATCCAACTCTCTTAAGCTATCTATAACTTACAGCCATTTGGTATGTTTGCAACAAAGGTTGAAGCATTTATCTTTCTCCCCACCTGATCTCTGAATTTGGAAACTCTTATACCATTAGATATACTGCCACAAAAAACAGGAGTATTTAGTTAGTTCAGTAAGAATCTGTTCTCTTTGTAACAGGATAGTTGGCTAAGTCCTAGGCTTGACTTCCTAACCTCAAACTTTTGAAAGTCTAGTCTGAGATTCTTTATTGAAAAGTCTTAGCAAAGCAGATTTAAAAGAGCATATATGGTCAATCACTATTCTTGATGTACTTGTGTAATCAGGCCAACTTCACTGAAATTAGATTTAATTTGCAAACAAATTAGTCTTACTGTGACTATCTCTAGTCATAATGGGGGTGATAAGAGAAATTGCATTTCAATACTACATCTTTGTGGACACTAAATTCTAGTGCTGTTTTCTACCTATAAACTAGATTGGGGGGCGCCTGGGTGGCTTAGTCGGTTAAGCGTCCAACTTTCGCTTAGGTCATGATCTCGCGGTTCGTGGGTTCGAGCCCCGCGTCGGGCTCTGTGCTGACTGCCAGCTCAGAGCCTGGAGCCTGTTTCAGTCTGTGACTCCTTCTCTCTCTGACCCTCCCCTGCTCACGCTGTCTCTCTCTCTCTCTCCTAGAAATAAATAAAACATTAAAAAAAAAAACTGTTAATCACAACTTATAAAAAAAATAAATAAAAAAAAATAAACTAGATTGGATCCTGATTTCTTCTAGTTTGCTCCAGTATTTGGATAGAACTCTCAACACCTCCAGTTTCTTCCTACTCTTTTGACTAAGAATCAGTGTGAAACTAAAACTGCCCTTTTCCCAAAGTCATGCAAGCTAAAGCTGGACAACTAGATACAAACTTCAGAGAAATCACAACAGCTCATATGTGGACATTTGACACTGCAAACAAGGAAAATCTGTCAGATTGCCACTGTTGGCCCTCACTCCCAGATGCTCTGAACCTAACACTAGGAATCTTCTCAAATGACTGTTCTCCAAACTCAAAAACTAAGTTTGTAATTTGCTGAAACTATTAATGTTTGTTTTTCTTTAGCTTCCAGAGAACTGCATCTCATTAAATTACCTGTTTGCTCACATTATTCAGAGGCCTAATTTGAGTAAATGCTCACCTAAAACATGACAGGATTAAGTAAGTAATCATGAGGATGTGAATGCTAACACGTCATGTTGTACCTATGAAATAAATGGGGTTCATTTTATCCTCTGTGGTGGTCTCTGCTGTGGGGAATTTTTCAGTCCTTGGTGGTGGTACAATCCTCATGTTCACCTCTCCAGTGCACGGTATACTCTTGAGGGTTTTAAATGTCTATCAGCAGCCACTCACATGCCACTTATCAGACAACTGGATGAAAACAACAATAACCACATAAAGGATGAAGATGGTGACTAAATGGCCCTCTATGCTGATGACTCATCTGGATGAAAACACTGAACATATGATTCTTCGGCCTCACTACATCAATGGTGGTAACTAATAATAATGCTATATTGGTTAGTAATACTCTCACCCTAAGAAAATTACCAAAATGGGGTGAATTGTTAAAATCAAAAACAAGTGGAGACCAGCCTTAAAAATTCCCAGGGCAGATAAAACTAGTCATGCCAAATAAGCTTAATTAACTAAGCTTGCTTATGCCTCTAAAGTTCATAGGCAAAATTTAAAATGTTCCCCCAAGTTGATATGAGGTAACCACTGACCAATTCCCTTTCATTCAAGGAAATTCTAATATTCTAATCAATCACTGTGAAAAATAAATAGTCACTGCTTCTCACTACATAAGCTGTTTGATAATATATCCCTGAGAGCCTCATTCCATGGTTTGGTTTCAATGCTCCCAGTATGTGTCCAATAAGCTTTTACTAATTAATACTTTGGTGACTGGTGTTACTTCTGTTATGTGTAATGCTGATGTCAAAAGTTCAGAAATAACAGCCAAAATTTGGAAACAGTCCAACGGGCGAACCGATAAACAGCATGTGACATATGCATGATGGAATACTGTTGAGCAGTAAAAATGCTGTGGTACAGATTGATTTTTGAGGTGAACTTCAAAAAATATATACTAAGTAAAAAGCCGGGTGCAAAATCACCATATAGAATATGATTTCACAAATTTATAGATAGAAACCAAATTAGTGACTGGGGAGAAGTGGAGATGGACTGCAAGGAGGGCTCATGAGAATACTGGGGGTAATGAAAATCTGGATTGTGGTGACCCTGGCACAACTCTAAACTTACTAAATCATGAATTGTAAACACGATGACTTTTCTATAAATTGTACCTCCAATAAAGGGGGATCCTCAAAACACACTGACTTAGTACTGTACTAGAATAGGTACTGAGAAATGAAACAAGTGGAAGAAAAACTGGAGCGCTGTTAGACTATAACACAAATAGCCACTGTATCATTCAGTCCTCGGCTCTGGTTTCCAGACAGGAAAAAGATCATTGTTTGCAGATGAATGGGGGGAAATCAGGGAATTTATGGTCAAGTAAAAATTTTATTACTTTTGGCTAGAGGCCAAAAACAAACATTAAAAAAGTTGCAAGTTTCAGGCAGAATGCAGTTATTTTCTGAATGAACACCAGTGCTCTAGAGTCACATTTATGAAGGGATTTATAACATCAAGTTAACTTATGGATCTAGTGTGTATACAAGAAGTGATGGCATAGATGTGTGTAAATAATGTTATTGTTTATAAACTCCTAATATTCATAAAAGAACAGGTATGACATATGGGAATAAAAAGCTCAGTCTGTTAAAGTCTACTAAGATACTCAACAAATTTTACAAATGGCTCTAGCAGTAGTAAGAGAAAGGAATATGAATATCAAGATGAAGCTATGCCCTTTCCTTTGGCTGTAGAATGGCAGTGGCCACATTCTACTTGTGGGAGTTACTAAAGACTATATATATATATATTTTTTTTTTTTTTTTTTAATAGTAAAGTGCTAGACTCAACTTTGGGCTTGAACTCAACCTTGAGGTCAAAAGTCACATGCTCTACAGACTGAGCCAGTAAGGCACCCTCTGACGGGCTCTCCCATTACTATTAGTGCTTGGATAAAATAAAATATAAACTTTTAAATGCTTACTAGATTCTCAGAAAAGCAGGGAAACTTCCTATAAGCAGGAATTGTAAGTAAACAGAAAAGCCATGGTTGCCCTGAGGAAAAATGCCCTTATCAGCAGTAGGATTGAGAGACTAAGCCTTAGATGACCAGTGAAGGGAGGAGTCAAGCCTGAGTACCCCATATTAGGCCTGGAACCTTGAAGAGAGCTAAAGTGTCCCAGGGACAGTTCCGGGCCTAGAAAAGCAAATGCAAAACCTCTCAAAGAACACTCCCAATTTAGAACCTCTGGATTCCCACAGGTTTAACCAAGAAAGCATTCACCACACACAAAATGGTACCATAAGGAAAAATCCAGAACGATAAACAGATTTAAAACCCCTCAAAAACTTCAGATACTGGAATTACCAGCCACAGCATATAAAGTTAACTGTGTCTGAAATGCTCCAAGAAACAGAAGAATTAAGCAAAAAGAATCAAAAAGCTTTAGCCCAAGCCTATCTAAAAAGGAATAAAATAGTACTTTTGGAAATGAAAAACCGAGCAGTGAAATTAGAGATTCAATGGTTTAACAGCAAATTATTTTATTTCCGTTTCACCTCTGTGTAAAGTCCCAGAAAAAGAAAAGTGATATTCAAAGAGTCCATGGTTGAATTTTTCTGAGCAGAAAGATCTACATGATGAATAATCCAGATGCATTTTAATGAAACTATAGATCAGACCAAATGAAAAGATCTTAACAGCAGAAAGTAAAAGGAGATCCCATAAGAAGGAAAGGGTGGCAGCTGAGTTAAAATTACAAAGGAAACCAGATAATAGTGGAATAATAACTTCAAACTGTTGAGAGAAAAGTATTAACTAGAACCATACCCAGAACTATCAAGAGTAACAATTAAGTGCTGTCTACTTGAAATTTGCTAAAAGTGGCCCTTAAGTGTTCTCACTGGACACACAGGTAACTGTGAGATGATGGATATGTTAATTAACTAGTTGGGATGATCATTTCACAAAGAGTGTGAATGTTAAAGTTTTGTAAAAAGGTCTTAAGCAATCTATAGCCCTACAGGGGCTCAAACTCAAAACCCTGAAACCAAGAGTTACACGCTCTACTGACTGAGCCAGCTAGGCACCCCTATGTTCTATACTTTAAATATTCAATTTTGTCAACTACAACAAAGCTAAAAACAATGTCTTAATACAAAAGCAGCAGTAAAATGACATTTTCAGATGAACAAAAACCCAAGCCGTTACTTAAACTTCTAGAAATACATCCTTTAGAAAGCAAATTACCTCAAAAGTCATGTCTGAGATACTCAAAAGAAAAATGATCAACGTGAACCCAGATAAATAATAATGTTTAAATATGGGTTGGGTAACAACTAAAATACTGGGTAACAAAGGCTGGAAGAGAGGTGATGAATTTTAGTGTTCTATGGCCCTCAGTATTCCAGGAAAGCATTTAACTTACTAATTAGATTGTTGAAGATTTCAGCACACATTTAAGGTTAACTACTAAAAGAATAAAAAGGTGTGGAGGGAAAACACACAAAAAAATCAATGAAATGAAGGCAAAAGTTTTGGGCAGAAACTAAAAGTGCTGGTAAAATTTCTGACCACTTAAATCTGTTACTCCCCCTTCCCCCACCATGCAAAACACACAGGACAAATATGGATAATAAAATTAAAAACCTATGTACAACATCCTAATTAAACCACGTTTCAGGAGCCCCAAAATTTGAGTATATGGAAGACCTGTGTGAATTAGAAACTGAGCAAGGAGAAAGCAACCAGGTGTGTGAACTACAAAAGCAGGAAACAAACTCACCAGAAAATTCAGAGGACTAGGTAGCTACAGAACAGCACTGAAACTGGAGAGGGTTCTGCGTTCTCAAATCGCAAGTGAGAGCACACAGTATTTGAGGCAGGTCTGAATAGGCTGAAGTATCTTTGTGCCCATGAACCCACAAAACTAACCAGTAAAAGCTCTCTTCAGGATAAAGTCCCTGGATACAGAATCAAATACACATCTGAAAAATGCTCAACTTTTTTTTTCTTTATTTCTGAGAGAGAGTGTGTGAGCAGGGGGAGGGTCAGAGAAAGAGGGAGACACAGAATCTGAAGCAGCTCCAGAGAGCCCGACGCAGGGCTCAAACCCACAAACCGTGAGATCATGACCTGAGCCAAAGTCGGACGCTTAACCGACTGAGCCACCCAGGTGGCCCTGCTCAACTCTTTTTAAAAACCAGCATACATCTAAAACCTCAAAACACACAACTAATTATACAGAATGTCAACACACTTCTTCTGGTGATAGGTCAAACAGCCAAAGAAGAAGATGGCAATGTGCAGAAGACTGAGCAACACAAATTGCTAGTTTGATATAATGCACAAATAACAGAAACTGCATCAAACAGAATACATAAATAACAAAATTTAGCTACATAATTGGCCATAAAATAAGTTCAGTATATTTCCCTGAAGTGGAGTCAAACAGATCATGATCACTGATCAAATGAAATTAATAACTTAAAGATATACTTCTAAACTCAAAACTTGAACATTTAAAAAATAGAAGTGAACATTAATGAAAATAAAACTCATAGGATTCAGGAAATGATGGCATTTTAAAAATCAAAACTTACCAAGACCAAATTAAAAATCCTAAAAGATCTACAATCAATAAGACAATGAACTGGTAATTTTTCTACAAAAGCACACTGGAGGTCCAGGTGGTTTTATAATTAAGTTCTATCAAATGTTCAAAAAGTGGGTTATTTCACTGTTAATTCAGAGAACAGAAAGAATACTCCATAACTCATTCTATGAGGCCAAAAACTGAAAACAAAGGAACAGACCAATCTCCTAAGCACAGATGTTAACAGTCCTAAGCAAAACATTAGCAATTAAAGTTCAAAAATTATTTTAAAAAATGATCATGGGGCACCTGGGTAGCTCAGTTGGTTAAGTACCTGACTTCAGCTCAGGTCATGATCTTACTGTTTGTGGGTTTGAGCCCCATGTCAGGCTCTGTGCTGACAGCTCAGATTCTGGAGGCTACTTTGGATTCTGTGTCTCCCTCTCTCTCTGCCACTCCCCAGCTCGCAAACTCTCTTTCAAAAATAAAC